AGTATTCCATCTCCCAACAGTAGGTGTCACTATAACTATCACTATAACTATCAAAAACAACTGCAAAGGGTTAGTGGACAGGAATAGTGCATTAGAATAATTTTGCAAGTCACACTTCTTAAAAATATAGCAAATGTTACTTACAGTGTATCGTTTTTCAAGTGTGAATCTGGAACCTTTTATTAACCACTAAAGTTGATGTCTAATATGAGGGAAGGCAGTTAATCAGCTGCAGGTTATCCTGACATTTCTCTTTCCCTGAATGCCTGAGCTCAAATACACTGCCATTTATTTTCTTTTCCCTTCATCAGGTCTCCCAGCGTCAGTCTGTGGCTTACTACCTGCTCTAAGTCCTCATGAGCTAGCCAAGTTCAGTAAGTTGTACATAGTGAGAACAACAGGAAGCACTGCTATTTTGTAACATTTTACCCCACTTACCTCATCTTTCCTGCCTATCATGGATCTATCATCATTGTACAACACTGCCCTTCAAGCAGGAGTGGTCCCATACTTCATATCAGTATCATACCACAGAGGCTTCTTCCAACCTACAGATGGAAGTAGCATCTCTTTAGAAAGCTACTTCCAGTCACTTGAGCCAACCTCACATACTAACTTCAGTGAAGCTAATTTAGCTTTGACAAGGAATAGGGATAGGATCTCTCTCTAATTGCGGGCATGCATGAGCAAGATGGGTAGCTATTTAGGGACATGACTAGGAATCCTGCTAATATACAAACTCTTGGCCCCCTTCACTCATATCACTCCTTTAAAATGGCACTATATCATCATATTTTAATAAGAATGGGTGCCAAACAGATGAGTCTGGATGACAAATCAGCATAATATCTCAAGTGTCATATCTCCTGCCAAAACCCCTCTGTGTGACAGCTGTGCCACATTACAAGTAAAAAGAGTTATGAGGCAGAGTAGGATTAAGGAAGTATTGCTGAGATCCAGGTCCTATTGTCAGAGAGAGTCCCAATGCAGATATAATTTAGCAAGCTGCTTATGGCTGGCTGGATGGCTGTTGCCTGGGAAGGAACCTAGGTCCATGTTGTCCTGATCAATCCCTCATTTCATGTCATGGTATGACCTGGGAGAAGGACTGGCAGAAGTTGGGAGATGTGTCCGGACTGTTTGGTGCAGTTTATTCGCTGATGGGATAAATTTTGGTGAATGGGAGCCCAAAATAGTCTTAGATACCTACTTTGCTCAGTTGAATAGTGATAACACCTGAATGTGAAAGAAAACCTAAACAACTGGAGAAAGAAAAGACCAATGGCTGTCAGACATTTGTGGCTGATGACTAGAAAAGCTATTCTATAGCAGGCATGTGGGAAATCCAGTAAGATCACTTGGAGTGTCAAAACCTGTTACATAACAAAACTGCCTATGGCATGTGACAGCATCAGGAGACACATTTAATCACAAAAGAGTCAACAAGATGGAACTTGAAATGTTAAGCAGCAGTCAAATACAGAGTTATCCGTCATTCCTGTAAGTGATGGACTATCCCAGGGGTCTCAAACACGCGGCCCGTGAGTTATTTTCTGCAGCCCGCCAGCTCCCTGTGCCCCCCCACCCCCAGCATTTACCTAGAGCAGCTCCGGCCAGCCCGGTGTGCACCGGGGGCAAGGGCAGGCTCCCTGCCCGCCTGCCTGCACTGCCCCCGTGCTGCTCAGGGAAGTGGCTGGGACTTGGTGGGGGGGGGCACAGGGGACTGTGTGTAGCCCTGGCCGCTCCTCCAGGTCCCCCAGTGCGCACCAGGCTGTAGCCCGCCCCCCGAACCCCTTCTGTACCCCAACCCCCTGCCACACCCCACACCCCTACTGCACCCTGACCCCCTGCCCTGAGCCCCCTGCTGCACCCCGACCCCCTGCCACACTCCACCTGCACTCGGACCCCCTGCCCTGAGCCCCCTGCTGCACCCCTCCTGCACCCCGACCCCCTGCCATGAGCCCTCTGCCGCACCCTGCACCCCTCCTGCACCCCCTGGGGACAGGGAGGGAGCAGAGTTGGGGTGGGGATATCAGGGAAGGGGTTGGAATGGGGACAGGGAAGAGGTGGGGCAGGGGCAGGGCCTCATGGAAGGGGTGAAGTGGGGGCAGGGGAGGGGGGGTCAGTGATACGGCCCTCGAGCCAATGTACTAGTCCTCATGGGGCCCTTGTGGTCATTTGAGTTTGGACCCCTGGACTATCCAATGCCCTTTCACAAGGAACAAAAGCAAAGAGGGGAAATATTTTGCTCAATCATGAAAAAAACCCAATTGATGATAATAAGAACATAGGAAACAGGATTATCCCGAAGTTCTGACTATGGCTGGTGTAGATTGATCAATTAAGTTTCATGAACAAAAGCTGGCTGTGATGGTTTCAGCAGTAGAGCTAAGTGAAAGACAGCAGTTTTGTTTCATGATGGATTTAGAGATTTTCAACTTTGCATTTGTTCCAAATTGGAGCAAAGATTTTAAAAAAATTAAATTCTCTTCAAAGGAAAATTCCATTTTTTTCATTTCTAGCCCTTCAAAACATTTCATTTCAATTTTAACTTTTAAATTTTGTAATATATACTAATAATTCAAAATTAAAAAAAATCAAAACAAAAGATGCAAATGTTTTGGTCTGAAAATATCAGCACAGGATTTTTTGATACCGGTGGAACTTTTCTGTTGGAATTTTTGGGACTTTTTTTTCCAAATACAATTCTGGTGAAATTGACCCAATTTCAAGAAACATTTTGATGTAACCACCCATTCTTATGGAATATGATTCCATCAAAGTTTCTCCAACCAGTGCTAGTCAGCAGTCGATACCAAGTGCCAATGCCATTGTTTTGCAGGCACTTGATGTACGATTACATAAATGGTACAGGAAATATGGAGGTAGAGGGAACATTGATTTCACACTCTGATGTATTTTACCCCTAGACCTCAAGCACAGCAAGTTTTGTATGGAGTTGGGATGCTGAATGAAGCCAGTAGAGAGTCTGTGATCAGAAACTGTGGTCTCAAAATTTTTGCCGGACATAGCTAGACCGTCACTTTTTCTACAACATGGAAAAAAAGAGAATACTCTTACAAAGTACCCCTCCCCTTTTCTTTTTGAAGGTTCATTTTTTCTACCTGGTAAGAATTTTTTCATAATTTCATGCCCCCAAACTTCATGGTCTATTACTCTCAGGACTTGATATGGTCCTGCTTCCTGTGATACCCATTTTTGAGTTTTTATTCCTCCCTACTGCTGCTTTGAAGTGTTAGATAACATTCAAAGCATTGCACATTGCTGCTGGTTTTTAAACTTTTCGTTCAACTGCAGTACATACCCCTGTTTCTTCTAAATAATTTTTCAGTGAATGGTTATATTCGAAAACCAGCTTTTTGCTTTTAATCAGGGCGAAATGCCAGCCTTTTTTCTAAAGCAGCTAGTAAGTGCGGTCCAAAAGGTTGGATGATTTTGTTTCAGTTTATTTCTTTTCCTCATAGGGATTTAGGTGCATAACTTGAATTAGAGGAATCTGAATTATTGTCTATTTCCAGCATGCATAAATAGAATAGATACCTGTATTTTTGTTTTCATGCCCTTTTCTCAGGATTGCACCCTTGGGGCCATATCCTGTCTACAATCTGTGCACGTGGCTCTCAGTAACATCAAGCAAATAGGAGTAGATGGCCTATAAAGTTGTATTGTAATGGTGGTTAAGCATCTTACATGGGCAATTATGCCAGTGTTGAGCTAGGAGTTAGCTAGAAATATACAGACACAACTGCTCTTGTTCTGCCTTCACTGCCTATATTCTGGCAATCCCACACAAATCAAAGTGGTTGCATGAGTATCAAGGAATCTGGATTTCAAGCAGAGAACATAGCTCAAAATCTGAAATTTTCCTACACAGTGCTTAAAACCTATTATTACACCCACCAAGTTCACAAAGACTTGGTCTGAAGTTTAACCTTAAAAAAAGGCTGACCGCACTAGCCAGGGTGTATTTGTATGGATCTGTAGGCAATGGGAACACCCAGCCCTCCCCCGCCCCTCACTGCTGGGTGCAGGAAGTGGTTCCAATGTGAGGTCTCTATAACCCAAACTGGCTGCCATAGGCCAAGAGCACAATGATGCTCCATGAGTGGGTACGCTTCCATCATGTCTCACATGATGTATAGTTCCCCTTATCTCATCTCTCCTACCTCCTACATGAAGGAGGAGAACAGTTTGCGGCTTCGGCTTCCAGCCCGAATCCCTGGGCAGGGATTCATGGAAAGCGTTATTGCCCTCATGCCTTCCAGGTTTGTAGTACTGGGGACATTGGTTTCCAGCTGAAATCTGCACTGATACAGTCCTGCTGGGTAGTTTGGGGAGTGATTCCTCATTGGTTAAGGGTTTTCAATAAAGTTGTGATCTTCAAATTGCATGATACTATGGCATACTTCTCTTATTGTATCCGTGTCTACATCAAAATTCTTGAAGAAATTGCTTTATGAAAACATCTGCCCTATTCACAACACAACAACAATCCAAAATCCCCAACCCTGTCATTTCAATTATTTTCTACATATTTGGGGAAAAATTCTTTCCAGTTTGCACTGTGGATGTCCTACCCTTCACATGATCTCTAATGGAAATCCCATGCATTGAAATAGAGTGGAGAACATGCAACAAAGATGGGGCCACAGTTCGGGCACCAGTTCCCCCCATTTTTAGGGTGCTTCCGCCACACTTGATAGCACTTAATTTTATTGTAGGGGGCCAAGTTCTGCCCTGGAATGTAAACACACCATTCTCATGCTGAGTTATTTATGTGCATATAAGGGCAGAGTTTAACCCATACTTGCAATTAAATGTTTTTATCTTTCCATCAAATTATAGACATAGATTTGTTTCACATTTGGGTCCCAAATGAATGACAAACTTTGGCTAGCACTATTTTTTCCCCCTCAAATATATGGACCAGAATTATAATTATGATGATGTATAGAGCCTTGTTGTACAAAACTACTCACAGATATTTGCTGTGCCCTTAGGAATAGGCAGATATGAGCCAGGACTCCAAGGTCGACCCTGATAATTCTTCTTGCATTTCCCGCAGTCTGGGCCTGTAGTATTGTGCTCACATTCACAAAACAATTTTTTGTTTTCTTCTTTACAGCCAATGGCATGAAGGTTACACTTGCACCTATCAGAGAAAAGGTAGGGTGTTATGTCAGACTACTGAGATCCTACTAAAATACTCCTTATGGCAGGGGTGGCCAACCTGAGCCTGAGAAGGAGCCAGTATTTATCAATGTACATTGCCAAAGAGCCACAGTAATACGTCAGCAGCCCCACAGATCAGCACCTCCCCCCTCCCTCCCCGCACCTCCCGATCAACTGTTTTGTGACATGCAGGAGGCTCTGTGGGGGAGCGAGGAGGAGCGAGGGCACGGCAGGCTGAGGGGAGGGGGCTAGAAGGGGTGGAGTGGGGGCAGGGCCTGTGGCAGAGCTAGGGGTTGAGCAGTGAGCACCCCCGGCACATTGGAAAGCTGGCGCCTGTAGCTCCAGTCCCGGAGTTGGTGCCTATACAAGGAGCCGCATATTCACTTCTGAAAAGCCGCATGTGCCTCTGGAGCCACAGGTTGGCTTATGGCAACCAATATATTTCTCTCTAACTTTGCGGTGTTATTGTTTTAACATGTCTCCAAAGAAATCTATCCAGCTTAAATTGGTTTCATGCATAAATGCCACATTGTGGTATCCTGCTGTTCGGCAGCATTTTGACAGCTTCACCTGAACTCCAAGGAGCTGATCTCCTCTTATTTACACCAGTTTTACACTGGTGTAGTTCCACTGAAATCAATGGAGTTACTTCTAATTTTCACTGATCTGTCACCCTGCAAAGAGTTCAGTGGGACTAGTCACAGGGATAAAATTAGTCATGTGCTTCCATCTTGGCAGGGTCTGGCCCAAAGTGAAATCAACGTCACATCCCAAGCTCAGGTTTCCCGTTAAATGTACTCGACGACACCCCACTCTTTCTTAACAAGGAACAGTTATACAGTAAATGCACACACTTTTTAGGTGTATTTTATTATACATACAACCAATAAAATAGTGCTTTAAAGGTACCAGAGACGCCAGAAAAACTGTTCTCAGAAAGCTAGTGTGAATTCCTTGCCTAGGTTCTGAAACACAGATTCAGAGGATGATAAATTAGTAATTAGAAGTCTCCAGGAAATAAGCCCAATTACTCTGAAAGAAAATGTTTACACAAAACAAGAAGTACTGCATTACATACATTTGGAAAACTTTTGCTAAGGTCCTGCTTTTTTGGCTGTGGATAAGATAGAGATATATAGTAGGTACCAACGGATATGCAATGTCCACAAAAATATGTTACCCACATCATATTTGAATGTAAAATTGCAGAAGCCAACTTATTTGCTGAAGAGGCAGGTTATTACTTTGTATTGTACCAAGCACTGCCCAATTGCTCAGAAAGGACAATTAATCTGACACCTTAATTTGACAAAATTATAGCACCTGAAGGGAAGAAAAAATAATTTGGTAAAAGTATTTTTTTTTCAAAATGGGAAATAAAATAACCGCAATTCTTATCAAAACCATTACATGAATCAGAATTTGAATGTACATTGTTTTAAAAATAGTTGGGGTATTTTCAGGAATGGAAAAAGCTAGGTTCAGAGACACTAAGGCATCGTTATTTCTTTCCAGTAGTTGTCAGAAATGGGTAAAATATCCTTGTTATTGGTCCTGGAAAGGAAACTAGTATTTAGCAACTCTGGTTCTTTGTTTTCCTAATGATTATAAATCCAGTGATTTAAAAGGTTCTCATGTGGGCATTTGTTACCTGTTCCATACAGTGCCCAGTAATTAGAGCAAAGCAGCACATGGAATAGCCAAGATTTTTAGCAAGTGCAAATGAACAGCTGCCAAGCTAACTTCCATTTAAAAGGAATATGACCTGAAGCAAGTGGCCATACACACACATATCCCCAGGGTAAAACAAACTTGCAGTTGCCTTAAGTGGCAGCTGGAGAAAAGCCACTAGAATTTGCAATACAGAAGATGCTGTATGCATTCTACTCACTATTAGAAAGGAGACATGAATTGCTTGTTATTTAAACAATGCTCACTCTAGCTGGAAATATAATCAACACCTTTTAAATTAAAATTTGCAAAAAAATCTTTTTTTAAACGACTGAAAAAAAAAAAAGAGAGACTCTGTTAAGCAAACAGTATTTAATTAGGTATGAGCTGTGTCCTGCATATACATACTGCAGTGAATTACTTGTAGTGCTAATTTGCTTAAAGGACCATTTTTCATACAACATTAGCACCTTTCTTTGATGGTGTGCTCTATATATGTACTATATCCAAAATTGCTATGTTAAAGGAATGTTTAGGTTACAAAGTCAAGCATTCAAGAGATAGGAAATGCTGTGTAGCCTTAATTTGGCCCTTTGCGTATAAGCATTACGATAGAGTCTTTAATGACATACTGTTACTCCACAAAATTCCTGCCTCTTTCAGTGAATGAGCAGTTATTAAATATTTTTTATTCATCTCATTCAGTGTATGGCCCCAGGGCTTATTTAATGCACACCATCCAGCCCCTGTAGTGAATACAAAATTATGCATTTCCTTTTCCACAAAATTATGCATGGATAATTCTGTGGTGCTCTTTCCATAGTATCTGAGTGCTTCACAGACACTAATGAATTTACCTTCATGACATTCCTCTGAAATAAAGAAGTATTATTATCATCCCCATTTCACAGATGGGGAACTGAAGTACAGAAATATTAAGGCCAAAATTGTCAAAAGTGTCCACTAATTGTTGGGTGGCCAATCTGAGCCTACCTATGAACTGATTTTTTAGAGTACTTAGCATTTTTATAGCACTTACATGTTCATGGCACAGCTCCAACTGACTTTAGTTACAGTTGTGAGTGCTCAGCACTTCTGCAAATCTGGCCTTAGGTATCTCACACTGGGTTCCCAGGCAATAAGGAACACACAAGTATGGGGCAACTTTGAATATTTTAATTTAAGTGACTAGCCCAGCACACACAGGAACTCTGGCAAAGGCAAGGATAGTGCGGCATTCAACTGCCCTAACCATAAGACCATCTTTTCTCTTCCTGCAATTCCCTACCACAGTGTTTCCCAAACTTGGGACGCCGCTTGTTCAGGGCAAGCCCCTACCGGGCCAGGCTGGTTTGTTTACCTACTGCGTCTGCAGTGGGAGCCGCGATCGGCCGAACCTGCAGAAGCGGCAGGTAAACAAACTGGCTCGGCCCGCCAGGGGCTTTCCCTGAACAAACTGCATCCCAAGTTTGGGAAACACTGCCCTACCTCTTTCATTGCACATCTTACAACTCCAGCCCACCACCTCTTTTTCTGACAAGCCTCCAGCTCTTACTAACTCCCTCATGCACAGTGTTGGACAACCTTAACTATACGTGATATTACAATCTCTGCCATATATATGTGCCAGATACAAATTGTCAATGGAACTATGCAGATTTACACCAGCTGAGAATCTGTCCAGTGCATGTGTTTGAAACCCTGGTGGTATAATCACCCACAAAATAACAATATAATAATGTAGCACCTACATATGAAAGAAAATCTCAGACAAGCACCAAATGATTAGAGGAAAAGGAAGAAAGAAGAATAGAAAATAGGAAGAGAGAGAGTAAAATTCTAGGATCAGTAATTCTAACTGGATTACAGAAGCAGCAACAAATTTGAATGTTGAATGACTGGAAATGAAAACTGTCTCAAGAGTGCTGAGGGGGCTGAGTGAATATATGGGGGCAGAGCGGAGACAGACATAAAGACCTGTGATTCAGATAACATTGATAATTAAACATAAAGCGTAGGCAATGCTGAGGAATCCTGAAAACCACAGTTATTCAGACATAACTGTCTACAGTTCCCTTGAAGAAGACTGCAAGGAACAAGAAGTGGCTAATGTGACTTCATGAAGGATTACTTAAAGATCAGAGATAAAAACAACAACAACTGGTATTATAAAAGCAAGAGTCAAAAAGATGAATACTTAGAAACAGTTAAGGCTTGCAGGAAAAGGAGAAAGGCTGCAAAAAAAAAAAAAAAAAAAAAAGAGAGAGATGAGTTAGTGCTCAGAGGATAGCCCAAGTGAAATACAGGAACAACTATCACATGAAAAAGATCACCACCTCATCTAGAGAATAAAGGAATCATGACTGCAATAAGCAGCAATATGTTTATAAAGGATAAATCTTGTCAGAAAAAACGGACTGCTTTTCCTGACAAAAAGATACCATAAATATGAAGGGGATGCAGCAAGCATAGCATATTTGGATTGTAGAAAATACTTTCTGGTACACTTTCACGTGATTGGAAAACTAGCTGAAAAACTGTACCAGAAACAAAAGATAAAGGGCTTGTCTACCCAGCCCCACATTGTGAACTACTGGGGTGTGAACTGCGGCTGCACTAAACTTTTGCGCTATAACTGCCCTGTGTAGACTCTGCTAGCAAGAACTACAAGGTATGTTGTTTGCATTAATGTAGTCCTGTTTGAAACTGGACTTCGTTATCACAAATTAGGTATCTTTGAGTTTGTGCTAACAGGATCTACACAGGACTTTACAACACAACGCTTTTGTGCTGCACTGCAGGTCACAGCCCTGTAGTCCATGCTGTTGGGCCATGTAGACAAACCCAAAGACTAATGGCATTGTATTGCTCTGCGGAAGGATCTTTAATGAAGTACTATTGCAGGGATAATGTCAGTGTTGAGTCTGATCTTCTGAAACACCATTGTTAATGATCTAGAAATGGGACAAAACTGTGTGCTATGAAATCTGAAGAGGATACTAATTTGGGAGTAGTGAATATCAATGAAATCATACAACCTGGCCCAGAGAGTAGAAACACTGGAAGAAAAATAATAAATTGTGATTCAGATAATCTGAAAAACATAAATTCTGATTTATGCCAGTGTCACTCCATTGATTTCAGTGGAGTTACTCCTGGTTAACAACTAATGTGAGAAGCAGGCCCCTACTCAGTGAGACGGTGAAACCTAGATAGCAATAATACTAAAAGAGACCAAAATGTAATAGTGGGCAGCACATTAGACATGAGTTTTCAATATATTATGCTTACCAAAAAAAAAAAAAAAAG